ATTATATATGTGATAATCCAAGCTCGATTTGCATATTTTGATTTTGCTATTCACCAAAGTTGGGTCCCTGAGGCACTTTCTAAGGTCACTTGGGGGGCACTGGGAATGGTGCATGAGAAGCAATGGGGAGAGCTCGCCTTTGGCCAAGAAACCTGCCCAAAAGTGGAAATAAATTGTTCCTGTTTGGGAAAAAATATAAAGGAAAGGGAAAAAAAAAAAAAAAAAAGCAGCTTTGGATGGGAAGACTGTTTCCACAGCCAAGAGGAATTATTTAAGTTGGCTAATATAACATGGCCAGTTGATCCTTTCCCTTTCATATTCCTACTTGCCTGTCTGCCCCCTCCTTGGGACCGTCTGAAGGAAGGGAAGGAGCAGACAGATGTTCCTGGCCTGAGCTGGTGGGGAATCAGGGACACATCTGAGCTTCTTGTCTCTCTTCAGAGCCACCCAGCTGGGAATGGTGACTCACAGCTGGGTCACGAGGGCTGTACCATCAACCTGGGAAGATGATGGATTCTCAAAACATTTGCAACTGCAAAAGAAAGTGTAAAGGGAATTTAAAAAAAAAAAAGAAAAAAGGAAGAAAGAAGAAGAAAAGGGAACAAATTTACACAAAAGGAAAAATTGTTCATCTCTGCCACTTCTGTTGTTTTTTGTTGTCTTTGGAGGGACAGGCTGGCAAGGAGATGGTCACCTTGTCCCTGAGCCCCCAGCAATGGGACAGCTTCCACCCATTCCTTGTCCATGACTACTTGAAGGACTTTGGACAAGGCCCAGTAGTGACAGGACAAGGGGGAATAGAGTCAAAGTGGCAGAGGGCAGGGTAAAATGGGACATCAGGGAGAAAATCTTAGTGGTGAGGCTCTGGCACAAGTTGCCCAGAGCAGCTGTGGCTGCCCCTGGTCCCTGGAAGTGTCCAAGGCCAGGCTGGGACAGTGGAAGGTGTCCCTGCCCATGGCAGGGGGTGGATATGGATGAGCTTTAAGGTCCCTTCCATCCCAAACCATTCTGTGAGTCTATGAAAACCAAAGACCAGATTTTCTTTCTGGTAAATATTGGCACTTATGGAAAAGGATTCTCAGAGTTTTCAATGTCACTGTGAGGACAAACCCATAACTGAAATAATGCATTACCTTGCACTGAATGTATGGTTGTAAGAATAATAAGTGTCTAACATTTTGTTGGTTTATTTAATTTTAAAATGGATTTAAAAGTCCTTGAGCTTCTGGAGGCAACATGATCCAGCAGGTCAGTGGGGGCTTTCTCTTCTTTCTCCATCTCCTTCAAGTACAAAAGGAACTGGAGAAGAGTTACCAGTAAAAAAAATCCATTCAATTCCTCACAGGACAGTAAATGAGTGTGGAGAAACTCACCACATGGCCAATGTTAATGACTCAGGATACATCAGCTCCCCATATTTTACCCTCCACTCTGCTCTCTGACTGTTGGTGTGTGAAGCACCATCCCAGCCTGAACACCCTGTACCACTCCTTGTCTCTGCAGCTCATATTTCCTTCATTCTCACACAGCATTTAAAATCAACACATAATTATTATTATATTTTTTTTGTAGGAACCTATTTTCATGCCAGAGAAGGAGGAACTTTTTAATGTAGTATTTTCTGATGGAGTTCATTCTCCTATCCTTTCCCTTCCGCAGTGGCAGGCAAGCTTCCTCTGATCCATTCAGAAATAAAGCACAAATGATATCACATTGCAGTTACTAGTATTTCCTTATTGATATACTTCCTATTATGGTATTTTCCCTTGGGACCTCCTTTTCCAAACACATGTTCAGCTATCTGCAGGTTAGATTCAGGAATATAAAAATAGTTAAGACATCAGAATCTAAATTTAGTGACCTTTAATAGAAGAACACAAAAGGAACTTTGTGTCATGATACACAAGGATTAAGACATTTTTAAAAAACACAACAGAGACAAAAAAGGCTAAAAATATTCTTCCATGTAACAAATCTGCAGTACTTACCCCACCACAATGCTGAAGAGATTTTCTGGCTTACCTGTTTTTTCTTTCCTCCTGTTGGCCTTTCCATCCTTTCCACACACATTCCTTCTCTTTCCTGCAACCAAAACTCTCTTCAGTTACTCTGTCCCACCAAAATCCAGCACAAACCCCCAAAATCTGTCTGCAACCTCAAGTCCCAAGGGCCATGAGAGGAGTGTGACCTTCTTTGTTTGAAGGATTGGGATATTTTAGCTTATTTTTTTATTTCATTTAATCCATTTGAAAATGGGAGCGTTTTCAGGGGGTATCACTGAGTGCTACATTCATCACCTCGTTTCTTGATGCAGAATTTTTTAATTTTACTGGATAGTAATAATAAAGAATTTGAAGTCAGCTCAGAGATCCAACTCTGTGTCTTCTGGAAGTGATCTAACTGTTGGATCAGCATGTCCCTGGCACATTTGTAGAACAAATTCATATGTCAGCTTCCACAAAGCACTGGTAGTGCCTGAGCTTGCCAGCTCTGCCGTTCTACTGCAAATGAAACAAAATTCAGACTAAATCCAGCCCCTGCACCCTGTTCCAAGACTGAAATTCAAGCGTGGGGGATCAGAGGCCACCTCTCCAATGCTGGTTCTGGTTAATCACAAGCTTAAATGGGCTCCTTTTTCAGACGAGGATTGGGTATTGTTGAAACCTTGCAAAAGAAATTCTTGTGAAAAAAGTCAATTCAACATGCCAGAGACGTTTGGAGATGCACCGATCTCGTGTGGTTTCCATCATTTTAAACACCTCCTGGATCAGGTAATCTCAACAGACTGGCACATCCACCTGGGCCAAAATTTCATGCTTTCTGTGTATATATATTGCATAAAATGAAACGTGTTCACAACAGATTTGCTTAGCTGGCCCCACATTAATTGCTGCTGTTCCTACAGAAACTTCACCAGGCACAGACTTAACACCAGTTTTCATTTAATCAAGCTCCTAATTTGCATCCTCTACAAGGTTTCATCTTATGAGTGATTTGAAAAGGCTGCCCTGTCCCTGGAGGATTGATACATGATCTTTTACAGGGCATGATAAATAATATTTTTAAAACTTAAATAAACAAGGTCTCTGAGTGCTTTCTCCTGAAAAGTTTTACTACATTTATGACAATTTAAATATGCCTCTTGAGAGCCAAACCATGAAGATAAAGAATGCAACAGGGCCAGACAAACATTCTCAACACAGAGACATTTTAAAAGAGGAAAAAAACTGACATTTGCCCCATTTTTGGATGACCAAAAAAAAATAGATAAATGAATTACTAAATATGCTCATTACAGACTCATTCTAATTTTTCATGTACCTACAGCAAAAAATGAATCACATTTTAATGCATGGAACCCAGGTGACAACACATTTGAATTCTGTATAAAATAATGAGCTGTATTTTCATTTGAGATGTGTCAAAATAAAATACCACTGGGAGAAAGTGTGTCTTACTGAATCCTTTATAATAGGCAACATAACCAGCAATGTGTGAAACCAGAGAAGCTCAAACCCACACACTCAGAATCACCTTTAAAAGGTGGTGAGACTGGCTTATCCTTTAATTCTTTTTAGGTCTTCATCTTAGGGAGAGGAGAAACCTCAAAAAAATTTTGGGATCCACTAGGAAAACAGTTGGTTTATGGCAGATATTGGAGTTTTGGGTGATGTAATGCCCACCAGTGTGTATTAACCCAGAGCAGAGATGCCTCAGGTTTTGGTTGAGCACAGTCAACTCACTCTGGTGTGATCAGCTGTATTTTGGGGTTTTGTACTTATAAACTCCACTGATTTTGCATGAGGGAGAGGAAAAAAAGGTTGTGTTGTGCATGAACATGTAAACCAAGAACGAATGCAGCACACCCGTGAACCACTGCTCCTGCCATGGCAGATGTGTGACCATGGAATGCCCCTCTGAAGTGGAAAACAAACAAACAAAACCCAAACAATGAAAAAAAGAAAAGGAAAAACAAAAGAAAAGGAAAAACAAAAGAAAAGAAGAAACAGGGGGTTTCTTTTCAAAATTAACAAGCAGAATGATAAAATGAAACTAAGGAAGGAGCTTTATCTCTACCACCTCCCTACAAGAGGGGCATTGACAAATACACCCCATTCCTTGGGACACATGAACTTCCTTCTCCTCCTGTTCCAAGCCTGTATCTACAGCCAAAGCTTCAGCCCATGTTGGGATGTGGGGATTTTGTGAGTGCTCACACATCTGCAGCAGATGTTACCTTTAACTCCCACCACGTCTGCACTGCAGGTCACAGTCATACCTAAAAACTCCTGAACACTTCAGATGCTTTTGTCCCTGCTGAAATTCTCAGATGAGCACACAGCAAGTCAGAGTCCACCTAAGAAATAAACAGGTTCACTCAGTGGGAGTGAGGACAAATTTATGCTTTCTGGCCTTCCCATGCAGGCTGCACTTTCAAGCCTACCTGTCCTCCAGCCCTGAGGCCTCACCTCCCACTCTGAGCACAGCAATAATCCACTTGGGATCAGAGGAGACACCAGAGGACAAATCAGCTTCCTCCAGCATCCCTTCTTTTCCATCTCTGCTCACCCTTCTCCCCTTTTCCAGCAGCCAGGTGAGCTCATGCCTCACCCCAGGCTCTCGAGCAGACCCTGCTGGGCTCTCACACCGTGTTCCACCAGGACACCCCAGCCCCTCCTGCACTTCTCCCTCTGCCATGGCCTCTCTCCCAACTCAGATGGGTGACAGATGCTTTTTCTCCCCCACTCCGTTTTGTCAGCAGGATAAAAATAAGTGATTTAAATCAGTCTCTCTTTAGTACCCAACCAGATAGCCCTGCCTAATATTTGTAGTCTAAATAATCGCCATATGTGGCAGTGGAATACAAGTTTGTGGCCTTTTTTTTTTTTTTAAATAGAAGTTAATCCAGCTTTGAGCTGGATTAATTCCCAATGAGGCTTGGGGACAGACAGCTGTTTCTCCTCTTTGGCCTGGGAGTTCTGCCCTCAAAAACCCACCTCTACTTGTCAGCATCCCTGCTGGACACGGGTTGTACTCATTTCCAGATCCTTGTTTCACCCTGTGTTCAGGGGCAGCATTGCACCAGTGTCTGCATCTCAGAGAAAAAAAAGAAAAAAAAGAAAAGAAAAAAAAAAAGATATGAAATTTGGAAATGTTTTGTTGACTGTTTTGCCATGGAATAAGAAAGACTTCAAAGCTCCCATCTTCATTTGGAGAGTTGGGAAGGAAGAATATTTGCAAAGGAGACATTTGACAGGAAAATCAGTATTAGCCTGTAGGGCAGTAGTGGAGCCAGATAAATCCTGCACTGGCTCTTAAGGCTGAAACCTCACAGAAACAGTTTTAAGGAAACAAGCCCTGAAGTGCTTATTTACCCTGTGCCACATGACAAGCAGTGGTGAAAAAAACAGCAGGAAAGAGGAGAAAAAGAATAAACTAAATAATATTCTCTTGTACTTTTCAACCTGGAATAAAAAAAAAAGAAGAAAAAAAAAAAAAAAGATTAAATTCTACCTAGGTTACACATTCTCTTATTATTCCTTGGCCTCCAAAACTGTATCCACAGCCAGAAAAATCACCTGGAGACCCTTTTTTGGCTGGAAAATAGAGGAGTATGATATCCAATATGAACATTAGAGTAGTCAAGGAATATTTTTTCTAAAGTAAGGCTAAAAATCATACCTGAGGTTTGAAGGCAAAAGCAGTTTCTCGGTAAGGTTCAAATCTCTGTCTCTGCAGTTTTGTTTTCTCACACACATTATGTAAGCAAGTCACCTCACACCTAAAATGTGTCTCAATTTGTGTTTGTTCTGCTTTTTTATTGCCACATTTGAAAATTAATAATTCAATGTCCTAATATTAGCTGTCATCTTAGCTGTGATAAAATTAATAATTCATCAAACCAAAATCAAACAAATGCCACCTTTTTATGCTGGATGAGGAATATACTTTGCTGCATTTGCAGAGCTAAATTTGGTGAGAATCACCACTTTACTTTGAATTAAATCATATTTTACCCATTAATATACTATTTTATCATCTTTATTCTCTTTGAAATTAACTCTAAGGAAGGGTTTTGCACAGCTACACACAGGTTTTATTTTTACATTTTTTTTCCAGATGGAAAGAACGGTGGTTTGAAAAGGCAAGGAACATTCATTTACTTTTATACCCTTTCTTTCTGGTCATGCACATCCAACTTTTCCAGGGAAAGTATCCACTGTACCTGCAGTGGCCAAATTCCAGATTTGTGTAATTACACTCAGCCTGGCTAAATTCTTGCTGGATTAAATTGGGGTTTTTTGGGGTTTCTTTTTGAGAAGGAATTCCCCTTTTCCCTGAGTTGTTGGGGAGTGCTGTGAGTGCTGCCTCTCTCAGCAGGAGCTGCCTGGGCTCCAGCAGAAGGTGGAGGGATTTCCAAGTGTGGAGAGCAGCCTGTGTTAAATCTGCAAAGCGTTTGGAGATCCTTTGGGGTGAGAGGTGCTATGTAAATGTGAGGTCACCGCCGCTATCTGGGGTGCAAATGCATCCTGGGCTGTGATAGAAGCTTAGGGGGGGAAAAGGATGAAAGGGAAAAAACATAAAAAAAGGAGGGGAAAAAAAAATATTAAGGAAAAAAATAAAAAAGGAGGAGGGAAATGTGAATTTAAAAAAAAAAAAAAGGAAAAATGAAGGGTGGAAGGGGATAAAAGAAGGGGAAAAACAGTGTTTAAAAAAAAAAAATATATATATATATATATATATATAGGGAAGGGAAGGGAAGGGAAGGGAAGGGAAGGGAAGGGAAGGGAAGGGAAGGGAAGGGAAGAGAAGATACAATTTCTACCCATGCTGTGCCAGACTTTGGATGACAAAGTTGCCCTTTTCTTGTCTTACTGTAAAGTGGGAGCATTAAACACTAAATTACTTGGTTTCTGCTTTTTAGGCTTTTCAAATCTTTTCAAAGTTTGCAAATTTTTCTCTCTTCACCAGGAAATATCAGCTCAGTCCACAGAGAAAACCCCCCAACTTCCACCACCACTGCACCCCACTTGCTGCAGCTCAGAAACTCCTGATCCCTGCTCGGAGAAGCAGGTGCCACATCTTGCTGCCAGTCCACCTCCACGCTCTTCCACCTTTTCCTCATATTTAGAATCAGAGAATCATGGAACTGTTTGAGTTTGACCTTAATGATCATCTCATTCCAAGGCTGGGACACGTTCCACCAGCCCAGGCTGTCCCAAGGTCCCTCCAACGTGGCCTTGCAGGTACAATATCACATAAATCACTTTCCATATTGCCTTAGTCCCCATGTGCCTCCATAACTTACCTGCCTTTCCCAATACCACATCAAACTCCCATCTTATCACTCATTTTTTTTCCCTTTTTTCCTTTTCCTGTTACTCACCTGACTGGATGATGTGGAATTGGGATTCCTGTCACTTAGACCTCCTTAAAGGGACAGGTTTTCTAATGGGAATTGAATAGGAAAGGTTGGATTCCGTGGGGAAATTTCAAATTGACAAATTTTCTGAATGGATCTCTCCTAACCTTGTTGCATATAATATATGCATGTATTGAGCTTAATTTTTGGTTAGTATCAAAATGTATTGATCTGCAAGATAAATATTGACTTGACCTCGCTTTCTCTCAGTCTATATTTACTTCTAGAGTCAATAAGTCTAGAAACTGATCTGACAGGAGTCAATAATGGCTTAAAATTCTCAAAATAGCAGCTTTGCTCTAAGGTTGCAATTTTTTTTTATTTTAAAGTTACTGCCTTAAATACATAAAATGCTCAGGAGGACTTAACACTTTGCTGCACAAAGCCATTGGGGAAACACTCAAATGCCAGAAGACCTCGATGTGACTTCAGGCCAACTGTGCCATTTCAGCACTGGCCAAGCCATATTGTAAATATTTTAATAGTGACCTACTGCAGCCCATCTTTTTTGCCCTGTCCATCCTCAAAACTTGGGGCTTTGCTCTGGAGGGTACGCCTGAGCATCACTGATTGGATTTGTCAGGGCCAAATTGTCTTCAGCCTTGGGAAAATGCAAAGCTTGCTGCTGGGTAGAGGTTGTCAGCATGAGAATGCCCTCCCTGCCTTAATTTCTCTGCTTAGGGAGGTGGTAATTAACCCAGCAAGATTTTTAGTGTCAAGTGGGATCATCTTCTTTCCCTTTCCCCTCAGTGGTGGACAAATCTCCAGTACAGCCTTCCCTATTTTCCTCATAGCGGTGTTACAGCAAAAATCTTCATAATTCAGTAGCTCAGTTTCTGATTTTTGGGGGTTCCTCATGGAGAACTTTCATTGGGAGGCAGTTTAATAATTCAGTTATTTGAGCAGTGTTCCTCTAATACGTGAGAAAAGGCTGCAATTTGATTTAAGGAAACCATTGTCACTGTCAAGCATTTCCCTGTCCCCTAGAGATTGGTCACCCTTCTGAGAAGTGCAGGAAAATGTTTAAAATGCAGAGAAAACAATAAATTTAAGAGAAAACAGATGAGAAAGAGAGTAGATTGACCTAATATCACTTTTACGATTAAATTGAAAAATATTCACTTTCTCTCACTGTTAAAGGAACCAAGGAATGTGGCAGATAGTTTTAAGTGTTGCTGAAAAAAGAGAGAAAAAAGATTTGTCTATATTTTTTCCCCCAGAAAGAGTTCTAGAATTTGGAATCATTAATTTTCTTTTAGGTTTTTGTTCTTTGGGGATTTTTGTCTTTTTTTTTTTATTTTTTTTTATGTAGGTAGTCTTTAGAGAAGATGCTGTACAAGACCCTGGGCTTGTATTAAAATAGTCTTGTGCTGATACTCATTTATCTGCATGTTTTAAAAGTGGGTGAAGCATGAAGCGAAGCATGTAATAGACTTAAGAACACATAGGTACAATTAAATGGGAAGGAAAACAATTACTTGTCATTCTTGCTGTGCTAATATTACAGAGAAAAACTACCAATGTCTGGAAGACAGTTTTCCAAAATGAAAGGAGGGAAAGGAAGATGAAGAACTCCTGTTCCTAAATTCCATGGGTGCAAAAACCCCACGTGAGCATGGGAAAAGCAAAAAAAAATTCCTAAAATCAGAATAAAAGAGCAATACCAGAATCCTTAAAAAGCCAGGAATCATTCCATGGATAGCATGACATATTTTTTTCCAGGGAACTCGTAGGAAGGTTCCCCTCAATCATCCATCCCAGAGCTGTTCCATGGTGCTGTTTGCTTTGATTAAACACAGAGTTTCACATCTTTCCCTAAGTTCCTTCATCCTTGGGCAAAACCTTCAGGTTTTGTGTAAAGAGTTAAAAGAGGTGTGGAATGGGTCCAGCTGGGAAGAGGGAAAGGGAAAAGGAAGTGGGACAAGGCTGAGTGGGTAAAAGAAGAGGTTGAGATGGATCTCCCCTTCCCATCAGCCTGCCCTCGATGCTGCTGAGCTCGGGCAATCCTCTTGCCCAGGAGAAATGAACTTGTGCATCTTCCAGCTGAGGTGAGTTCTCTCCTAGAACTGGAAAATAGAGTAAAATAAAATAAATCATTCCTAGTCCGAGCAGGCAAATTTCTATGAAAAGAATGTCTGATTTCAGGAATCTGCAGTCACCCAATGCAAAAAAATGTCTTTGCTGAAAACTGTCCAGCCAGCCTCTGTGATTTTAATTAAATAGCAAAGACTGTGTGTTGAAATTCACAATCTCTGTCCCCATTTACTAGTGGGTTGAAAAATAACCTAAAAAAAAAAAAAAAAGTATTTAAAAAAAACCAAACCCTTACTCTTTACTCAGCAACTTGAACAGATTTCAAGTCATTTTGTAGTTGGGAGGAATGCTCACAAAGACAGAGATTTTCTTGACTGAGATCATCAGAGCCCAGAGCTGAAGCAATTGTGCAACTGAGCAATGTATTCAGGCTTATTTCATAAGAATTATTTACTCTTTAAACTATTCATTCACACCTACAAGAAAAAAAAATTAGAAAAAAAGAAAAAGAAAAAAAAAAAAAGAAAAAAAGAGGTTTTAGACAAACTGTCTCCCCTGATATCTTCAAGATGATTATCAGAGCAGGGACCTGATCTCCAGCAGCCAAAGGCAGGAAAGTGCTTGGCCAAAGC